TTTGTGTTCATGTGTTTTATTATATTCATTATCTTCTATTGAACCACTCTTTTGCATTACTGGGATAAATCCCACTTGGTTGTGGTATGTAATACTTTCAATATGCTACTGAATGTGGTTAACATTTAACATCCTAAATTTTATATCTAATTTGAGGTGATTACTTAATTGGCATTTAAGAACTCTGCTCCTATATAGCCCCACCTTCATTTATGTTGTAATAAATTACATCTTAAATATTGTTTGCATAATAACATAGATTTACAATTGTGTTTTGTGCATTTGTCCTTAAAATTATGTAGGAAATAAAAATTGGGCTTATAAACCGAAAATATAGCAATATTGTATTTTATATTTGCCCATGTAGTTACTTATACTAAAGACGTTATTTCTTCATTCTGCTGGAGTTACTGTCTAGTTTCCTTTCCATTTCAGCATAAATCTTTGACTCTCTTTAGCATTTCTTGTAGAGTGATCTAGTGGTAACAAATTCCCTCAGTTTTTTATTTGGGTATGTCTTTATTTCTTCTTCATGTTTGGATAATAGTTTTGCCAGATATAGTGTTTTTGTTTGAAAGCTTTTCTTTCAGCATTTTATATATGTCATCTCACTACCTTTTTGTTTGCACCGTCTCTGATGAGAAATTGGTGGAAAATCTTATTGAGGATTCTTTGTCCTGATGAAAATAGCTTGTCTCTTGCTACTCAAGAATGTCTGTGTCTTTCAACAGTTTGATTATAATGTGTCCTGTTGTGTGTCTTTTTAGTTTATCCTACTTATAATTTGTTGTGCTTTTCAGCTTTGTAGATTTGTTTCCCATCATCATATTTATGAAGTTTTTTGCGATTTTTTTTTTTTTTTAAGACTTTGAGAGAAAAAGAGCGGGAGAGACAGCACGAGCAGGGGGAGGGGCAGAGGGACAGGGAGAAGCAGATTCCCTGCTGAGCAGGGAGCCCTATGCTGGAATCCATTCCAGGACCCTGGGATCATGACCTGAGCTGAAGGCAGGCGCTCAGCTGACTGAGCCACCCAGGTGCCCTCAGCCATTATTACTTGAAATAATCATTCTTCTGGGCCTCTCATAATGCACATGTTGGTCTGTTTGATCTGTCCTATACGTTCCTTAGGCTTTTTTCACTTTTCTTCATTGTTTTTTTCTTTCTGCTCTTCAGACTGTAATTTCAATTTGGGCCTTGTTACTGCTAGTGAAAGTCCTGACTCTACCAGTTCTCATCTTGAGAGGGGGTAGGTGACAGGGTACCTCGTTACTTCCTGATAGGATAGAATTTCAGGCTCCCTACTTAGCCTTTTCTCACATCACCTTAGCTGGGTTGCTGCAGTGGGGCACCTCATTGCAGCCAGGCCAACGTAAGAGTCTAGGCTCTCCACTTGTCCTTTTCTTGTGTGGGTGGATTTAGTGCCACATTGTTACTGTGGTGTTTGGATCGAGTAGAGGGGCTATTGACCAAAAGTTTTCTGTCTTTCTATGCCATAATTCGAATTGTATTTCTCCTATAGCTATGTCATTTTCTGTTGCTGGTTTCAAGATTTTTTTGTCTTTATTTTTATTCAAATTTTAATTTTATTTAAAATTTTCAGGAATTTGTGATAATATTGTGATTCTTTCAGTTTATCCTTTCTGGGGTTTGCTCACCTTCTTTTATCTGTAGGTTTGTATCTTCTGCCTAATTTGCAATGTTTTCAGACATTTCTTTGAGTACTTTTTCAGCCCTATCTTCTTCCTCTCCCTCCAGGACTATAGTGACTTTTATTCTTTGTTGAAAAAGGCTAACTAGGGAGCCTGAACTTCTATATATTTTTTTAGTCCTACAAATCCCTGAGGCTCTGTTCTTTTTTATTTTTTCCATCCAAGTCTGTTTTCTTTCAGTTCAGTTTGAATAATTTCTATATTTCCCTTCAATGATTCTTTCCTCTGTCTTCTCCATTCTGCTGTTGGTTGGGGTTTACTAATAATTTTTTTAGAATGGTGTTTTTTGTTTTCGGGTTTTTTTTTTCAGTTTTAGAGGTAGAGTTTAGTGATTCTTTAGTTGCACGTAACACCCAGTGCTCATTACATCAAGTACCCTCCTTACATCAAGTGCCCTCCTTAATGCCCATCCCCCAGTTACCTCATCCCCCACCCATGTCCCCTCCAGCAACCCTCAGTTTGTTTTCTATAGTTAAGAGTTAGAATGGTGTTAATGTTACAGAAAAACTAAGCAGATGGTACAGAGTTCTCATGTGATGGTCTTTTATTGATACCTTAAATCAGTAAGGTAACATTTGTTGCAATTAATGAACTGGCATTAATATATTTGTTATTATGTAAAGCCCGTACTTTATTCAGATTTCCTTAACTTTTATATAATGTCCACTTTCTGTTCCAGGATCCCATCTAGGATACCACATTATATCCAGTAATCATGTTACCTTAGGCTAGTCTTGGTTATGACATTTTCTCAGACTTCTCTTGTTTTCGATGACCTTGACAGTTTTTAGGATTTAGGTATATTGTAAGATGCCCCTCTGTTGGAATTTGTCTGAAGTTTCTCATCATTAGACAGATTGGAGTTACAGGTTTTTAGGAGGGATGTTACAGAGGTGTTTACTTTTTACACTGCCATTTTCATCACATCATAAGAGTACATCTATCGACATGATTTAAAATGACTGTTGAAGTTGATGTTGATCACCTGCTGCAGTAGCATTTGTCGGGATTCTGCATTGTAAAGTTTTCACCCCATTTCCATGTTGTACTTTTTTTTCCTTTTTTGGAGAGAGAGAGTGTGCCCAGCAGGGGAAAGGAGCAAAGGATGAGGGGGGGAGAGAGAGAGAGAGAGAGAGAGAATCTTAAGCAGGCTCCATGCCTTGTGCTAAGCCTGAGGCACGGCCCTGAGATCAGGACCTGAGCTGAAATCAAGAGTCCACCCTTAACCAACTGAGTCACCCAGGCTCTCCCCTTGGGAGCACTTTCACTTGGCTCCTGTGTTCTTTTGACATACCCTATCCATTGATTTTTAAAATTTGTTACTGATTTTTTTCAGTCCTAGAATTTCCATTTTGTTGTTCTTTATATCTTCTATTTTTTTTATATGAATTTCTGTTTTTCATTGTTAAGTGTATTTTTATTCTTTGTTGAAACATTTTTATCATGGCTGCTTTAAAAATCTTTGTCGTAATTCTAACATCTCTGTACTTTCATTGTTAGTATCTACTGATTGTCTTTTTCCATTTATTTTTATTTTTTTATTATTTTTTAAAGATTTTATTTATTTGAGAGAGAGAGAGAGCAACAGAGGTGTGAAGGGCAGAGGGAGAAGCAGACTCCCTACTGAACAGAGAGTTCGATGCAGGAATTGATTCTGGGGCTCCAGGATCATGACCTGAGCTGAAGGCAGACAACTAACCAGCTGAGCCACCCAGGCACCCATCTTTTTACATTTAAATTGTTGTTTTTCTGGGTTTTGATAGGATACGTGATTTTTTTTTTTAATCGAAGCCTGGAAATTTTGGGTATTATGTTACTATATTCTGGATCTTAGATAAACCTTCTGCTTTAGCTGGTTTTATTTGACACTGCTGTGGTAGGGGTAGGAAGGCCTAGCCTCAGTTTTGACAGGTATAGGTTGAAATCCGGGCTCTCCATTTGGCCTCTGTTGACACCCATTGAGGTGGGAGGAGCTCCTTGTTATTGCTGGATGAGGGTAGAATTCTGGTTCCCCTCTGGGCTTTGGCTGATCCACCCTAACTGGGAGGAGTAGGATTATCTCCTTACTGCTCCCTACAGCTATGTATCCACTGACACCAAATGATTCCATTCTAGTGGATATAGAAAATATTTTTTATACTATCATTAAATGAAATAATTATTTAAAAAGTTTTTTATCTTTCATTCTGTAAAATATTATTTTCATGTTTAATTCATATATTGCATGTTCATAGTTTACAAGTAAATAAATGGAAATCCATGTATACATTGTTACTTGACAAAGGGACACAATCAGACATGTTTGGAGATCACTATACAAGATGCTATAGTGAATGTCTTTTCCTATAGCCTGGGGGAACTAAAACTCTATGGTGATCTTTTCTTACCCTTGCCCTCCCCTCCCCTGTTTGTTTCTAACATTTAACTTGGCTGCCATTGTTTATATCCCCATTGCTGAATTAGTTTCTGGAATATACTGATACAGGTAATTAATAATCTAGATCCTGGAGTGGAGACTATATACTTAACACTTCTCTTTCAATATTTTATTTTCCACTTTCTTGCATAATATTTTGACTTTAATGGAAAGCAGGATGCTTTCTGCAGGGGGTAAAGATGTAAAGTATTATGTGCTGTAAACTGTCATGTGCTCTAAAAAGAGTTTCCAGAACAACCCATTTGCCAATAATGAAAACTGTACCTGCATAATCTTCAAATCACTTAATTTAGAATGCTTTGAGGTACCATAGGCTGTAATGAGATCTTAGAATATGTTGTCATCTAAGAGAAATAAGTAATTTTTTTTGGCTAGGTCTACTTAGAAGCAAGTAAGTTTAAGGGTCTATTTATATTTATAATTTGTTACCTGTTATTGTTTTATCATTAAATGATTTTTTTCCTATAGGATAATTAAAATAATTTAATAATGGCAGTGGGGATAGAACAGATAGGCATTTTTTGTTTTTTAAGATTTTATTTATTTATTTTGAGAAAGAGAGAGAACAGCTGGGAGAGGGGCAGAGGCAGAGGGAGAGGGAGGCGCAGACTCGCCGCTGAGCAGGGAGTCTGAAGCAGGGCTCAATCCCAGGACCCCGGGCCGAAGGCAGACTCTTAACTGACTTGAGCCACCCAGGCACCCCCCAGATAGGCATTTTTAAAAGTCGGAATGAGTTTGTAAGACACAAACAGATAATTAAGAATCAACTTTGACAGATTGCTTATTTACCTTTCAATTAAGCAGCCTTTTTTTATATGTTTTTTTTTTTAAAGTCTTTTAAAATATTTTTTTAGGTAGGTAGCCATCCAAGCTTCCTGAAGGAGGTTCGAGACCACATGCAGGACTCTTTCTTAATGCAGCCTGAGGTAAGCAGGACTGTAGCTGTGGTTAGCCCTTGACAATTTCATGTACTGCTACTGTCTTTATTATGTAACTGAAAAATCATGTGCATTTTGAAGTATATTAAAATTTATGAACTAAAAATATGTCAGATAATTTTTTCCTTATGTTATCGTAGGTAAACTTTATTTCACAAATTTTACATGTATTGTGATTTATTTAATTTGCTTTTAGGTATTTTTATTAAAAATTATCTTCAGATAAAAAATTTATGCGCAGTACCTTGTCCACAATAGGCATTTACCTACGATATAAAAGGTCCTCTCTTTTGTGCCTACCTGAAAGATATTAAAAACCCTTATTTTGTAAAAATTTCCAAACTCATATTCCTTTATCCAGATGAATAGATTAATACATAAATATGTGAATAATAAATGTATACAATTAATAATTTTAACTGTAGTACAAGGAATTCATATTGACATACTACTGCTATATATGATTGATCTAAATACCGTATTCACATTTTAAAACATTAATGTCCCTTGCAGCAAATGGAAAAAAAATTACTTCTTGTTTAGGATCCAATCCTGGATTATAGGCCGTTATTTCTTTAAAAATATTTGTCTCTTCCCCCCTTTCCTTCTTCTGAGACCCTAATTCCAGATATATTAGATTTCCTGCTATTGTCCCATGGTCCCCGTGGCTCTATTATTTATTGGTTTTCTTTTTTTGGTCTTTTTTTTTTCTGCATTTTGGAGAGTGTCTATTGTTGTATTTTAATTTTACTAATCTTTTCTGATACACTCTTAGTCCCATATGGTTTATTTTATGTCTCAGATCTTGTATTTCTCATCTCTAGAAGTTCCATCTGGGTCTTTTTTATATCTTCTATTCCTTTCCTCATTATGTTCATGTTTTCCTGTACTGCTTTCTTGAATATATCAGCATATTTATCATAGCTCTTTTAAAATTTTTGCCTACTATTTTCTTAGCTGTCATTTCTAGATCTGTTCCACAGCTTGATTTTTTAACTTTCTATATAATGAGTTATATTATGTTTTGTGGAATGTTTAAAAGCATTGTTTCATATCTTTTGTGTAGCTTTCTGGTTTTTAAAAGTGGGAGATTAAATCTAGTCTCTGTCATAGCTGGGGTTGGAAGTCCTATCTGCTTTAATCTGAAATAGTTCCCTAGTCTTTGTCTTTCATGACCTTGACATTTTTGAATACTATAGGACATTTAGTAGAGTGCCTCTCAATTTCAAGTACATCAAGCTTTTATCTCTTGAGTACTTTCCCATGTGGTTCACTCACTTGGTCAAAATATAGTAAAAGAAATGTATTACATACAATGTAAAAGAATAAATTAGGGGGAAGTTTTATTTAAAATCATGTGATGATTAATTTTGATATTCATATAGAATTGGGTAAAATTTAAATGTAAGGTACCAATTTTCAATGAGTAGACTGAAAATGAGCCAATTTGCCATAAACTCCCTATTATATTTACCTTTATCTTACCAGTATCTTGTTTTAATTAGTTCTACCTTATTCTTCTTCACTGAATTTGTAAGTAGGTTTATTTTCTCCCATGTCTGCATGGGGAATATAATAATTGTGAATTTGTTACAATTAATTTCATTTTTAACTCACTCAATGTATATTTATAGGATGAATGAAATTTAAATATTTTGATTGTTTACACATAAAACAGAAAACATGGCATGAACGGATATTTCTTTTTTTACTAATGTTCTTTCATTAAATGGGTCCTTTTATTTTTGAAGTGGTGGCTGTGTTAAAATATTTTCAGTATTAATGATTCTATCTTTCTGATAGTACTTTCTCATTCTCTTCAGATAAAAGTATTTGTCAGTGTGGACCAGTTGCTTAGCTCCTTGTTTACTTGACCCAATTCAACTGGTCTACTTTTTATTGGTACGTCTTAAAACTTACTAATTACTTAACCATTCTGCCAATAAAATTATTGTCAACTTGAAGGATGTTTCTAATAAGTTAAAAAAAAAAATCTAATCCAGGATTAGATTAGATGGTTGGACTTCATTTATATTGATAAAAGAATTCTTGATGGGTGCTGCTACATGCAGGTCTTGTACAAACATGTGAGAGCTGCTTTTTCTCTTTGTAATCCTGTGATCTAATGGCAAGTGTCCTGATATTTTTAGTATTTCTAATTTGTACTGTGATGCCAGATTTTAAAAATTCTTTTTTCTTTCATTGTCTTATTGATGTGTTTTCTTTGACTCTTTTCCCATTATGAAAATTTGAATTATTACATAGGCCTCAGGAAAATATTTTGTCATTTCAAGCAAAAAACCAGCATTCTCCTCTAATGTCTTTGTAACACTGGGAAAGTCATAATTAGACTTAATAGGTTTGCAGTTATTCTTTTCTGTTCCTTGTTACCATTCTTTTACTGTTGATAAGTATTTCTTTTTGCAGTGTATGAGAGATTGAAGAATGGGTTCATTTCCACTTTGAAAAGTAAAACTTAGGACTTCCGCAAAGTGATATTTAAGTAAATGGGGAATAGGCAGCCTTGCTTATTTTTTATGGTATCATAAAAATATTTTTTTTATGGTACCAGTTATGTTTTTCTATAAAGTTTTTTTTTTCTTTTTTTGATGTTGATGTTAGTTATTTGTTTTTGGTTATTTTACTTTCAATTTATTACCTTTATTTTCTAAAATCCTGTGGCGCTCATGAAATTTGTCCATGCAGTTTACCCATTTTGTTATTTTTGGCCTAACTGTCATCTTCCCTGACATCTATTAGTCATCCATTCATGGAACATTTTGAGGCCTTTTAATATCATTATATTGTACTAGACGCTGTTGGGTATGATGATGAATAAAATAATCTCAACATCAGGTGGAAAGATGGTTATAATTATTTTGCAATACGATATGTGATATTTGATTTAGCAGCTTTTGATAGTTGTGTAACCACTCAGAAGAGAAAGCAAATACAAGTTGCACATTTTAAAGACTTGCTTTTCTTTATGTTTGATTTCTAATTGTGACTATCATGTTTTTAATACAAATACAGCAGTTCATCTGCTGTATTTGTATTTTTGTAAGACTATGTATATTTCAGTAATACTGCTTTTGTCTAGTAATTTTCAAAGTGTATCTCCTTTGGTCTTACCATTATATATTTTACCTTGTTTTTTGAATTACGGGTTGGCAAATATTTACTCTTGCCAGAAGGATTGACTATTCTTATCTATTGACTAATTATTAGCTTTAGTTAATAGCCCAAAATCCTGTTAAATGACATTTTTTTTAGTTTAAAAAAATTTAAAATAATGGTGTTTTATTGTGGTTGAATGAGGTTTTAAACGTACTATACATAGGTGGTTAATTGGTTTTAAGAGAACTTCCAAAAGTTCTTGACAACAGCACAGCTCAGTGGAAAAAATATTTAACATCAAATTTTTCCTCTGAAAGACTGTAGTCATTTGATTATTAAGGCTTACACTTTGTAGGTCCATTTAATTTCTTCTATCAAATGACAAAGAAGTGTGTCATGGTAAACAGAAAACACTGTCTGTGCCTTTGTTTTTCAGTTTATACTTTACCTGTAGGTGGGTTTTTTTTAAAACTAATTAATAGAGAAAACCCTATTTTTTGTAGGAGACTTAGCTGAGATCATTACTTTTGTTTGAACCTGATTTAGCTGAATTGTAGTTAACAGTTTGCATCCAGATGAAGATTTCTGACCCACTAAACCTGATTAGAGATTAACAGAATTGTTTTGCAGAGAAAAGGTGTACTGAAAAATATGATAATTTTTTCTAATTAAATTACAGTTTTCTTAATTATCTTTTTATGTTTCAAATTTTAGAAATATGGAAAACTGACCACTTGTACTGGTTGCCGAACACAGTGCAGGTTTTTTGATATGACTCAGTGTATAGGTCCTAATGGATATATGGAGCCATATTGTTCAACTGCTTGCATGAACAGTCACAAGACAAAATATGCAAAATCACAAAGTAAGTTTCAGGTATTTGGAAAGCTAAAAAACCTTAATAATATGACTAATTTTTTTTTTTTAAGATTTTATTTATTTGACAGAGAGAGAGAGACAGCGAGAGAGGGAACACAAGCAGGGAGAGTGGGAGGGGGAGAAGCAGACTTCCCGCGGAGCGGGGAACCCAATGTGGGGCTCAATCCCAGGACCCCCTGGGATCATGACTTGAGCCGAAGGCAGACGCTTAATGACTGAGCCACCCAGGCGCCCCAATAATATGACTAATTTCTTAACTACTCTTTCCCCTAACTTTGTTTTTATACTTGTATTTAACTGTATAAGCAATTTTTATTTATCACATTAAACTTTCTTACTGCAGACCTTTTTTAGTGGTTTTGACCATTCCATATTTCTTTGAATTTCTTTAATTTTAAGTTATTGGTGAAGTTCTGTCCATGTCTGCATTCTTAGTTGAAATTGTTTTTCCTTCCAAAGATCTAAAATTGAGATTGTTTCAGGTATCCATGTATATTTTAGAGACATGATGTTAGAGTCTCTATAATGATATTTTTTAAGATGCAAATTATCTTGGAAATTAATAAAAGAATAGCTTATAGAAGCTTCCGTTAAAAAAAATTTCCCAGAGGTCAATTAAAATTTTGTCTAGACTTTTTATCATTTTATAAAGAAATCAGATATGTATCTTTTCTCTTCTAGGTTTGGGAATTATTTGCCATTTTTGTAAGCGAAACTCTTTACCTCAATATCAAGCCACAATGCCAGATGGGAAACTGTATAACTTTTGCAATTCCAATTGTGTGGCTAAATTTCAGGTTTGTTATTTATTTTGGATAACTCTCACTCCCAATAAAATACACGTAGAAGATAAAACAGTGTAATATGCTTTATCTTTATTAAATGTGCTAACTTGTATGTAGTTTGTTGAGGGTCAAACTGCAGGGTGGAGATTATAGGGTCATAGTAGTAGACATAGCTGCAGCAGCTCACTACTTAGCGTGGATAATCTAATTGACTTTTTAATTGTTTATGGTAGAGACTTGAAGGAAAATAAATTTTAGTATAATTGAGCTCAGTGCCTGATGAGTACTATATTCTTAGTCAATGGTTTTAGTAATATGTGACTTTTTTTTTTTTTTTTAAGATTTTATTTATTTATTTGACAGAGAGAGAGATAGCGAGAGCAGGAACACAAACAGGGGGAGTGGGAGAGCAAGAAGCAGGCTTCCTGCCGAGCAGGGAGCCCGATGTGGGACTCGATCCCAGGACCCTGGGATCATGACCTGAGCCGAAGGCAGACGCTTAACGACTGAGCCACTCAGGCGCCCAGTAATATGTGACTTTTAAGGGGAATTCTGTTTTATGATAAATGGATGAAGGACATAGGTATATTTAGCCTGGAAGTGACGAGCATAAATGTTTTCTTCATATATTAGAAATACGCCATGTAAAACGGGGATGGGACTTGGTACAGTAGACCCTAATTTAATATAAGATCACTTTAGGGAGACCCTTTTCATTTTCGTAAACGTAAAGAACTTTCTGGCATAGTTCTTTAAAGTTGGATTATGGATAAGCTTAGAAGGTAGTATTACTGCAAGTGCTCAAACTTAAATTCATTGACTACTTGGAAGGAATAGTTGAAAAGGGAATTTAGCATTAGTTAAGTGGTGTGAGTAGGTAGGTTTACTTTGCTGTAGGTGAAAATTTTCAAGGTACTCAAAGGTTCAGACCAGTGCATAAAGCAGTGCTTCATGATAATCTTCCAACAGTTCTACAGTGCTGCAGACACTGCGTACTGTTATTTATTTATTTATATATATTTTTAAAAGATTTTATTTATTTATTTGACACACAGAGAGACAGCAAGAGAGGGAACATGAGCAGGGGGAGTGGGAGAGGGAGAAGCAGGCCTCCCGCCAAGCAGGGAGCCCGATGTAGGGCTCGATCCCAGGACCCTGGGATCATGACCTAAGCTGAAGGCAGACGCTTAACGACTGAGCCACCCATGCGCCCAGTTCTGTGTTATTTAAATTGAAAATGTAGTCCATTAAATATGTTAGAGTAGTTACAACCATTATTAGCATTTAAATTGAGGTAGTTTTTAATTCAGCCAGGTGAATGTTGTTTTTATTAATACATCCTTGACTGAATTTAGGTAATAAACCATTTTCAAGACTAAACTTTTATTTTGGAAGTTGGGATCATGGCCATTGATACATCCTTAGAGTGGTAAATACTGCTTCCGACTTGTTGGCTTTTCTTAAACTAGAAGTTAAGGAGTAAGGATTAATTAGATGAAAGAACAGTAGTTAGTGTCTTTGGCATGCTGCTTCTCAGATTTCAACTTTATTTTTGATGTTGGTAAACTGTAAATGCTAACAGAAAATGTTTTAACTACTTTTTTTATTTAACTGAAACTTGTATTACCCATGATTTGAAGAGACAATTTGTATATGTACATTGTATATTTTATTTTTTTTATTTTTTATTTTATTTTTTTAAAGATTTTATTTATTTATTTGAGAGAGAATGAGAGAGAGCACTTGAGAGGGGGGAGGGTCAGAGGGAGAAGCAAACTCCCTGCCGAGCAGGGAGCCCGATGCGGGACTCGATCCAGGGACTCGATCCAGGGACTCGATCCAGGGACTCGATCCAGGGACTCGATCCAGGGACTCCAGGATCATGACCTGAGCCGAAGGCAGTCGCTTAACCAACTGAGCCACCCAGGCGCCCCTGTACATTGTATATTTTAAAGAAACACTTAATGTAGACTGTTATTTCTGGGGAATGTATCCAGATAAGTGTTGGCAGCCTCATCACTGTAACTCTGCATAAAAGTGATACAAAGAATAGAAAAGCAGCATTTTTTCCCTTTATCTTAAAACACACCATAGATTTTGAATTTTATGTTTTCATTAGATGATGTTTCCATTTCATAATAAGGTAATAGGATAGTATTCATTTATTTTGAAAGAATAGTTAACCTTAATGGACTTACACAGTTTTTTTTTGAAACATCAGGGCACAGTTGGTTTTTATTTAAAAAATGTATTCACCTAATAGTGACTATCTTAAATCTGCATGTTTTCTTTTTTAACAAATTTTAATTGTGTTGTACAATGTATGCAGAAGTTTTAAAAAATGATAAGGTTTTTTGTATAAAGATTCTTTCCTCTCTCCACTGCACCCCTGAAAAATTTTTTAACTTTTACACATTCAAAAGATTATATGTAATGTGTAATATATATTAGAGAATGATAAATATCAGCATACTCACCACTCAGGTTACAAATTAGAACAAAACTTTTTTTTTAAAAGATAGATTTATTTTAGAGAGAGAGCGCACCACCCACAGACACCCCCCCAAGCACCATCCCCCCCCCAGAAACCCCCCACACCCCAGCATGGATGTGTGTGGGCATGCCTGAGTGGGAGGGAGGAGGGGCAGAGGGATAGGGAAAGAGAATCTCAAGCAGACTCCCTGCTAACGGCAGAGTCTTATGCGAGGCTGGATCCCACAACCCTGAGATCGTGACCTGAGTGGAAACCAAGAGTTGGATGCTCAACTGACTGAGCCACCCAGGTGCCCCTAGAACAAAACTTTTTAAGCCCGTGTATGCTTATATCTTTCCTTTTTTTTTTTTTTGAAGATTTTATTTATTTATTTGACAGAGAGAGACATAGCAAGAGAAGGAACACAAGCAGGGGGAGTGGGAGAGGGACAGGTGGGCTTCCCGGGGCTTGATCCCAGGACCTTGGGATCATGACCTGAGCCGAAGGCAGATGCTTAACGACTGAGCCACCCAGGGGCCCTGCTTATATCTTTTCTTATTCTGTAAATTGTTTTAACTTTTTAAAATGTAATAAAACTAAAATTATTGGTATCAATTCCAGTCTGTAAATCTTTTTTCCCCTAACTTTGTAAAAGAAATGATCAGTTTTAAAAAGTATTATGGGCTGTTTTCACTGATGGAATTAAAATGATAGCAATATTGCATGTGGGACAAATTACTACTTAAAATGCCTATTGGAGAGAACTAGGAGCCAGGTTTTTTTTTTTTTTTTAAATGTTTAAATACTAGTTCAGAACCCGGTTAACCTTAACTATTATTTGCTCAGGTTTTTTTAAAGGTAAAAAATAATTTTTGAGCTGTATGATTTTTCCTTTTTCATGTAATTTTAAAATAAGTGGTAGTAATCCTGAATCAAAAATGAATTTCAGTTTCATAAAACTTAGTGTACTAGTAAGTAATTTTTAAATACAAAATTCAGAAATACAATTTTATGTGAGGAAATATTTAAGCAAGAAACATACTATTTTCTGGACATAGTCAAAATTTAACAGTAGTTACAAATAATTCTAAAAGTATGTTTTGTTCTTTGTTTTAGGCTCTAAGTATGCAGTCATCTTCAAATGGTCAGTTTGTAGCTCCAAGTGATATACAGTTGAAATGCAACTATTGTAAAAATTCCTTTTGTTCAAAGCCAGAAATCCTGGAATGGGAGGCAAGTCCTATTTTATTATATATATTGTCTTGCTTAAATAAGAGTCTAGTAAAATAATAATGGTGTTTCCATTTGATGACTGCTTTCTTAGTGGACAAGGATTAGTTCTTCAGATTTTGTGATGATTGAATTATTTACTTCCTTTTGTGGGAAGAGCATCAACAAAGGATCTGTTTATTAAGTCATATCCTTTATACATTATATTTGTAATAGTGTACAGGACGTTACTTTGTTTAGCTACATACTTGGAGCATCTGTTTGTACTGTATTTTTCCATTTTACTACCATCCTTATTAAATATCGTCTGAACTATAATATTTTGTATTGCCTGCTACCTGCACAGATTAGAATCTGTTAGTCATTTACCATGTTGTCATTTAACATTTTATAATTGTTTTAATAAAAGAATCCTAATATAAATGTATTTTATTTTCCCTTTCTCATCACTCTTGCCTTCACCACTTTATTAATTTACTTTGCCATATATTTTTGCCATTAGCAACACCTGATCATTATTTTTTGTTTAAATAAGGGAGCAGTGATGGATGAATGCATGGACGGATGGATTTACAGGTGGACCTGGCTGAAAATTGCTTTCTTGATCAGTGTTCATCTTTGGCCATTCTTTCTTTCCATCTTTTTTGAGGGCATGGAATATGTAATAAAATGGTGTACAAGACATAGTACTAACAGTAGATTGCTTTTGAACTACAATTTTTAGTGGCTATTGGTAAGTCAGTAGCTGAGTCCTAGGAGAAAGGTGATAACTAGAATCTGACTAATGATTACTCAAGTACTTTGGAAATCTGAAATTTCATTATTTTAACACTTTAGTCCTTAGAAAATTATTGAGCATTTAAACCAATTATTCTTGGAGGCTACTGTTGGCACCCAGTGATGATTTTTAGTGACTAACACCCTCTTTAAATCATAGCAGGAAAAATGTTGAAAGTCTAGTAAGAATAAAGGAATAGTAGGGGATGAGGAATGAAATCCATAAGTAAGCACAGAGTTACATAGGGAATAAAGATCCTGCCTAGATTGAATTTTTATAATACTAGATGAAATTGAGGTCCTTTCTACCATCTCCATGTAAATGCTACCTGGCTTTTGTAGTCTTGGTGTTGCTTTTATTTACATGGAGGTTAAGTTTTGGAAGGAGTTAAGAAACACTGTCTATCAAACTGAGAGTTGAGCCTGTCACTCAGGCGATTGAGAATTCAAGGGCCTCTTTCTTCTCATTCCACTGTTGGCAGTTGTATTTTCTTTGTTGCTGTTTTTCCTCTTATAAGTTATATGTCCACAATGGGGCAACTTTCCACTGATTGCCTTATTACTTGAGTTGGTTCCTAGACTCTTTCACCTTCCTTGTCTTGGTCTTCAGCTGTCTTTGCCCCCTGTTAGGTAGATGGATTAGACCTAGTCTATGCCCTCCATAATAACAGAGGGGAAATTATATGCCCTGGGAATTATAACTTGTTTGTGTTTGGCTGGTTTCTGGAAAGTAACTCTGGCTATTGTAGGTTTGGGGCCAGTAGAAATGACTAAATAATGCTAACCTAGCTCCATTCAAGGGAACCAACTCAGTCTAAAGTTTAGCAGCACACTGTATCATGGCCCCAAATTGAATATGCATAATAGGTCTGTTACTATAAGCGGCGGTAGGAATGTGATTGAGTCTACTTGACTGTACTCATCAAAGAATATTTCTTTTTGAGTGAAACTGATGTTAATGTCATATTTCTCATCTTTTTGTAGTTTACCCATGTTGTATCTTCCATTGCTTTCTTCCCATTTCTCCAGTTCCCTTAGCAACACCAGACTGCCATCTTGTTCTAGTGATACTTTTACAATTTCACTGAGTAATTTTGGGGTAGTTAATGGTATTGAATTTTGTGGAGTGTTTTCTGAGAAAAAAAAAAAAAGAAATGTATCCCCAAGGATTATCAATCACATTTAACTGGGTAAATGATTTAACTTTGTTTCTGTAAAAGTGACTTGTTTATTTCTTAAACTTGTTCTTGAGGTGGTTGTCATATACTTACCAAGGTTCCCATTGTGCATTTAGAACAAAGTGCATCAATTCTGCAGCAAAACTTGTTCAGATGACTATAAGAAGTTGCATTGCATAGTTACATATTGCGAATACTGTCAAGAGGAGAAGACTCTTCATGAAACAGTAAATTTCTCTGGCGTTAAGAGACCTTTCTGTAGTGAAGGCAAGTGTATATACAGTGTTCATAATTTTTGTTAATATTTAATGTTAATTTTTTGCCCAAATTTTTTAAATATATAACTACATGTATCCAGAGTAGCTGTACAATTTTAGTGTAGCTGAACAAAAAAAATTGAATTTGATTTTCTACTGACTTGTTTTGTTATTTTAATTTGTAGACCTCTGGGCCTCAAGGTATTTTATCTCTAAAAATTTAAAAACCTTTTTTCCCATTAAAAGGAAGTTTTGAAAATAAAAGCATTATTATATGTCATTTCTAAACATAGAAACTGTGATCTGAAAGGTGATTTTACAAGTGGATTAGAATTATTTTCCATTGGGTTCATTTCGCTGCCCAGCTTTGTGCCTAGCCTACAAAGGTTTTCAGTATACCAGAAAGAAAATCATATGTGGCATTACTACAATGGGAAAATACTTTTAGGTTTTTAATTTGGGATGCCAGGCAAACACTGGCTCTTGTTACTGTATATTCAAGAATTCTTTTCTCCTCTCATTTACACTTTTGCTGCTCTGGTACCAGGCAGCTGATTATAGAAATAAATGCCTGTTCTCATTCTAATTCTCCAGAGATAGGAACCAGGATTGTAACTATGGGTTTGGGGCTCTTGTTATTATCACTTTTCCCCAACTGTCACATTCTTGCTCTAAGCTGGCTTTCAGTTTCTATTCTTTCTTTAGCCCCAGGCACTGAACTCTCCCAGCTTTTCTATCTGCTATCCTCATCTGTCATTTTCCAGTTAGTTCCCCCCGGCCCCCATCCACTTTTTATATGGATTTTTGCTGCTGGTTAGGAGCAAGAAAAAGGTTGGAAAATCCTAAATGCCAGCAGTATTGCATGACCGAAAACTCAAAAGATCTATCAGTCCATTCCATCAGTGCCTTCGTCTGATACATTATACATTTCACATATGAGGTTTTGTATGTAAGAGGGTACTGCTTATAAAACAAGGCATTCCTCTTTTTAAAAAAGTTTAGTTGAGTACATTTCACCTGATGAGAAAGGTAACCATGTTTACTGTTAAGATCATAGCCGTGATGAAAAGTGACATAGTGTGTTTCATTGAAAAGATTGATTCTGAATTAATTTAACTCCACACCTGAATTTTTATTTAGTGTGAATCTTAGTGATTCATAAGTCTGAATATATTGGTGTTGATGGCTGACATACCTATCCATGATCTTGTACTATTTAGATTATATGGATTTTACTAAAATGAATAGACAAGTAGCAGCAAATAGAGAGTTGACATATAAGAGTATAATTTTCAATTGGAGGGACTTATATCTTTAGGCAATAAAAGCTTAAAAAGGACATGTGTCTTTTTCCTGTTTAGTAATATATTTTGTGCTTTCTCTAACTGCACCTAGTTTTCTCCTGGAACTTGGCCGAAATAACAAAACATGTAATACCTAGTATTACCATCAAAATCTAATTAGAAAGATAAAGCTTTAATGAAGGTAAAATATTAAAAAGGTTTTTAAATATAGTTCATGATAACAGAAAAGAAGTCATAGGACAGTACTTAAATAATTGCCAAATAAACCAATAGAAAACAGTTGCAGTTTGAGTTCACAGATAGGAAAGATTATTTAAAACTAGGTTCAGTAGAATTTGCAGAGGAGGTGTAATTTGAACTCCTTAGTAATGAGTGGGTAGGATTTCAGTAGATATGAGTGCAAGGTCATTCCTGTGTGGCACAGTATGAGTAAAAAGTATGGAAACTTATTTAATTCATATAGAGATATTGTAGAGATTAAGGTTGATATGTAAAATCACTTAAAATAATACATTCATATAGTAGATAAAAATATTTTATTAAAAGAATAACAGAACATTTTCTCTGAACAAGTCAATAAACCAGTTTTACTTCCCTGAAGGTCCATGTAGGGTGTCAGAGAAAAGTAAGGCTAGAAATTTTGGCTAAAATGCCTGCTTAGTTGAGAACATCTTTAAGTTTTACTCAGTGCTTCTCAACAGTCTACACTGTTTGATTTCTCTAATGCCTATTTGCGGTGTGTTACTCTATGATACTTCAGCAGGATTATATTTAAATAGCCCAAACAAAATAGTTACGAGATGTTACTAGATTGGAAAGTCTTAGAGCATTATTGCTCTAATGCACATGAGATCTAATAAAATATTCCATGCTCTGTTCCAGTATTTACAGGTTGTTGTTGATTATATTATTCAGTTTTGATCAGAAAAAGAGGACTTATGTGTGAACTTATAGACACTTCATAAAGCTAATGATCTGTTTGACTTAAAAGCGCTTTCTCACCTCAAAGAATAGTTTTCGATATTTTTTTTGCTTTAATATTAAAACCTTGTATTTTTCAGGCTGCAAACTATTGTATAAACAGGATTTTGCACGACGTTTAGGATTGAGATGTGTTACTTGCAACTATTGCTCTCAACTGTGTAAGAAGGGAGCAACTAAAGAACTTGATGGTGTCGTGAGAGATTTCTGTAGTGAAGACTGCTGTAAAAAATTTCAGGATTGGTACTACAAGGCGAGTAACTAAAATTTTTTATTATAGCAACTGCTTTATCCAATCTTTAATAAAATATTGCAGTTACTATCATTACAAATATGGTAGCTTATTTATTTAAAAAATGTACATACATTAAGCCCTGCCCAGATTATAGAATTCATTAAAATTTTTGTCATTTCAGAAAGTTTTTTGTACAACTTGAAGTAGCATTTTTACTTGTTTTCTAACTTAGCTATTACCCCAAACTAGAATATATCTTTATTTTCAGCAATATAGTTTAACAAAATGGATTATTTCTCTAAAATTTGTGTGTCTTTATTTCACCAAATAGAAAATAGACCATTTTATTAGTTTTGAACATTAGCAGGTAATTGTTTTAGACACTTCGGATGTGTTTTAAAACACTTTGTTCTTTTTTACCTTTATAATTGTGGATCTTTGGAGAGTTCCAGATTGAAAAGACTATATGGATAGAGACCAAAAATATTTAATTTGAAACTGTAAATAAGTGTGTGTGGTTGTCTTATTATAATCTACTTCTAGAAAAGATAAACCACTTTTTTGTCCATTGCATTGGTTTTTTCCTAGATAAGAAAAATGAGTGTAAATTTGGGCTTTGTTTGGTCAGATATTACCCAAGAAAAAGTTATTAGTTCATATGTCCATAACATGGAAAATCATCTCAATGTTAAAACTTCATTATGGTTGTACTTCTAAAACATGTGAAGACGACATCATCATAACTTCAAAACTGTGAAATATTGCTAAAAGAAACAAAGGGTAAAATGGTTGAAATATGTAGAATATTATTTATTTAGTTCACTTAATGAAAGTGATTAGTGCTAATATTTTTAGGAAAATTACAAAAATTCTTGGTGTAGTTCTTGAATGTTTACAGCTCCACATATCAAGTAACATTTATTAAATTAAAAGAAGATGCTTTCCAAGTTGAAAGAGGTTGTGGAGGCTAAGAGTTTTGGTGCAATTTTAAAATTACTTCATTATTTTACTGTTGCTTCTGACTAATTTGTCTTACAATTAGGGGCGCCTGGGTGGCTCAGTTGGTTAAGCATCCAACTCTTGATTTCAGCTCTGGTCAGGATCTCAGGGTCATGAGGCTCCAAGCTTGGCTTGGAGTCTGCTTGAGATTCTCTCTTTCCCTTTCCTTCTGCCCCTCCCCCGCTCAAGCTCCCAGTCTCTAAAATAATTTAAAAATTTAAAAAATCTTAAAATTAAAGTTCAAATTTTAGAAACACACAGGACAAACATACTAACATCCTCTAACATTTGTTTTAGTCTAATCCAACCTTTTGTTCTATTAAAGACAGTAGCAATTTTGAGAAATCACTCAAAATGTTACTTTAATAGCTTATTTAAAAGCTCAGTTTTGTTTAACACATATGAACACTCTCCCCTGTTTGGGAGGTTTTATTTTTGAAAATTTGTTTTGGATTTAAAACAGCAAAGGTATTTAGTGGCTACATTATAAAGATGGGAAAATTCCATTTTATTCTTCCTTTTGGTTACCCTTTTGATCGTTTATTTTATAGTTTGAGAGACAAAAACTGTTACCATATGATAAGTATGATTTCTCTGTCATTTTATTGTGCAAATTTCTGCCTAATTGTGTAATTGTGAATCCAGACCTTTAATATTTAAAATCCTTTTTGGAGGATTTTGTTTTTTTATCCACAGAACACTAAATGTACTTCTGTTTGGCTTCTTTCTTTGAATGATTTCTTCTTATTTTCTTTTATATTACTTAAAATAGAGAAGTCTTTTTGTTTTTTTGTTTGTTCTTTTTGGGGGAAGCAAAGAAGTGTTCTTTGGCAAAAGACCATATTACTCTAGATACTGCCATTTGTTCCATTTTGCTATTTATTTTAAAGGATAATTGTGTCTAATGTTTTTATGCAATGTTTAATGATGAAATTTTGGTGAGGCAGTGCATTTCAGGATATATAACAACATTTAGTTAAATAACCAGTTGTAATTATCCGTTGGTTTAAAGTCAATATTTTGTACATTAAACACATTTTTATTGTTATTCCTTGTCTTATATTAAACCCAACAAATGTTTGTGTAATATGCACAATAGCATTTTTACATTACTAACATTTTTACATACATTTTACTAACATTTTACATACATATATTACATACATTTTTACTGTACTAACCTGAGGAATAAAGGTTATATCATTTTATCATAATGGTAGGGATTTGTAAAGCAAGTAATGATGATTTTTCTATGATCAATAGGAATACCAGCTTTGAGATGAAGAGTTGCCCTCCTTATTCATCATTGGCTTCTCTGTGGTGGCAACCAACACTAAATCAAGGAATAACTTTGTTCTGTGTGTCAAATTGTATTTTCTTATACCTCTCATGAGTCTCTCCTGTCACTGCTACCATCCTGATATCATCTTGAAAATGTAGTAAGTTGAGTCCCAAACCAAATTACGATTTTTTTTGACCTTTCCTCTTCCACTTTTTAAATTTAAGAACTCAAGTTTTAGATTTTAGTTCATTATAAATGTGACACTTAACAGTCAGTCCAGCTTTTATTAGAAAAACAATTTTTTAAAAGGAAACTTTAAAAGCAACTTTAAGAACAACAGGTAGCCAGTCTAGTTTGTTAACTTCACCTTTAGTCATGAGCATTTGCTTCCTAACCAGAGGAGCACATACATTGTATTTTCCACCTTCTTATCTTTGTGCCTCAAGTTCATAGACTATCTATAGTATAAATAACTTTACATTTTTATTTATTTAAATTAAATTTAAATATTTATAAGTATACTTTAAAAATTTTGGCTTTTGTTTCTTTTACTTGACAAGATGTTTTGAATGATCTGTGTTTTTTGGTTTGTATAATGGTTTGCATTTGGATTTAAATAGAGATTTATTAAATACTGTCTCTTCTAAATTGGAATACAAAATCTGTTGAAATCATGCAACCAGAAAATGTTGAGAGGTAAAGTTAACGTTTTTTTCTTCTCCCAAATTGTTCTTTAGAAGGAAGTAGATAAATAAATGTTTCCAGCATAATGTGAAAGCAGGTGGGAGGAGAGATGTTTTGATCTCTGTAAGTTTGAAATTTTAGGAGAAAAAGGGGTTAGTACTGTAATGGAATAATAGCTAGGTGTTTGATAATGTGAAGTTAATTCAAAAGACCTACTGTTTTCCAGAATACTTCACAGTAATTCTTTGTAGAACTAATAATCTTTTCTTGAATGTTATTGCTACAAATTATAGTTTTTTAACATGGGTTTTGATTTGCTGTACAAACCAGTAGTGAATGGCAGCATTCTTTAATGTAAATGCCCTGTAATGGTATAAAAATATGATTTATGGGGTTTAATCAGATTAATACTTACGTTTTAGTAAATCTTAGTCATAAAAGGGTAGTTGAATAAAAAATACTGGGTTTTTTAATTTTCTCTTTTTTTGTAAAAAATTTGCTAGAAATATTTATTTAAAAAATTATTCTTTGTTTTTGAAATAATTTTAGAAAGGGAATATCTAATATTCTTGCTTTAAATGTGCTTTTTGGTAACTGAAGATTTCCTATCACTTGAATGCTTTGCCTTCAATCACCTACCCTTTATCACAGCATTTTTCCCCCCTTTTTTTTTAGTGAATAACTGTACTTAGTAGGAAGTCATAAATAATTATTTTTTAAATGACTGTAAAATCCCCTATTTCATTCATATTCATGGATTCCCCTCCTCAAAATTAGGTCTGATTGGTGAAATGGGAAACAAGTAGATGGGCAAGTTACAAGGATGTATATATATCAACCAAAAGTGAGAATTTGAAACTGCCAAATAATAAGGGACTGCATCAGTATAGGCTGAATGACCTATTATCAATTATTGAAAGAGAGATTCCTGTATTGGCTGAGATGCTGGATTAAGATTTTTGAATTAAGAATTTAGTACCCGCATATTATTTAGGTTTTTTGAACTGGTGACTGTTAATCCACTCCACCCCCTCCCCCCCCATAACAGACAATCCCTGATTTTCCATAGTGACAGGAAGACCACTAAGTAGATGATGAAATTGTATTATTTATTTATTTATTTATTCATTTTTTAAAGATTTTATTTATTTGACAGAGAGAGACAAAGCAAGTGAGGGAACACAAGCATGGGGAGTGGGAGAGGGAGAAGCAGGCTCCTCGCTGAGCAGGGAGCTGGATGCGGGGCTCGATTCCAGGATCCTGGGACCACGACTTGAGTCGAAGGCAGACGCTTAACGACTGAGCCACCCAGGCTCCCTGAAGTGGTATTTTTGAAACCAGCAACTTAAGTTATACTTCAGTTCTTCTTCCTTTTTTTTTTTAAGATTTATTTATGAGATAGAGAGTGTGTGCAGTCGGGGTGGGGATTTAGGGGCAGAAGGAGAGAATCTCCAGCAGACTCTGCCCCAATTGCAGAGTTCATCTGGGGGGATACCATGACCCATGAGATCACCTGAGCCCGTGAGATCACCACCTGAGCTGAAACCAAGAGTCAGATGCTCAACTGACTGAGCCACCCAGGCGCCCTGTACTTTGGTTGTTATGCTGTAGAAATGTTAAGCTTTTCTAAGAGTTCTCTCCTATGGTTGGAAGGAAGTAGTTTTCGTAAGGAATCATGGTCATTTTTAACGATGTTTTCCAATTAGCCATTGTATTTTAAGCTCAGTTCCAAACTTTACCCAGAATTTGCATGAGTGGCTATAAAAGAAAAAACCAAATGGAAAAGAGGTTCACAACTTCTGAAACTTTGATTATGGCATTGAACTTGGATTTAGTATTGAGTATTGTTACTATCCTTCCATTCTGAAAAAATATGTACATATTTTATTTCCATTTGCTAATTGGCATTAATTTTGGTCCTCGGGTACAGAGAAATCATCTAAATTTGTTTTGAACCTTCTGGAAGAAAGCTTCAAATATTGTTACTACAAAATCCAAATGTCTATAATTATAAAATAATGAAGTGATTTCATTGTTCAGATTCTTTGAGGAGAATGTGCTTTGACCTTCTAAATTTTTGTGTAAATAGAAGTATGTTAAGAATTAGCATAGTATATGTAGTGATTTGAATACATTTTATACAAATTGATTTGGGTTTTAGATGTTACATTGAGAACCTTCTTGCAGCATTTTACCTTTATTAGGATTTTTATTTTCTAGTTATTTATATTAACTCATTTTGTCTTTCCATTGTCTTTATAACTTGATACACTAAATAAAGCCCAGTTTTTGATTTGGATTGTCTGCTTGGAATCCTGTCTCTGAATTTTAATGTTTGGCCTTAGACAAGTTACTGCATTTCCAGTACTGTGGTGAGGATTGTAGAGAGTAGATATAATATGCCCGGCTTTTATTTTTCAGGTTCTCAATGAATGAGAGGTAGTCAGGCTACAACTTCACTTTTGCTATGTTTTTGTACTGTTTAGACTCAATAATTAGAATGTTAAGCTTTTGATTTCTTCCTTTGTGCTTTGTCTTGGGTATAAAGTATAAAAAGGGAACCAAACATTGAAACTTTGAATACTTAAAGGTTATTTTAAAGAACAGTTTTTGGGTGGTGACCAGGGACCTTTTTCATTATTGAGTAAAATATGACCTAGTTGATAATAAGTGCTAATGTTACTGAAGTTACCACATAATATTACTGGCAATATAAAATTTGAGCTCACAGTTTTTGGACAAGAGATGTGATTTTGGCATCACTTAAAAGTCATAATTTATACTACAAATCTTCATTCATTTAACATTTATTCAGCAGGAGAAATACCTGACCTGGAGAAAAAAAAGAGCCTGTGTTCTAACCTTGGGGTATGTTTGTTATATAAGACCTGTTTATCAGCACAATCATCTGTTAGTATTCCTGCCTAGGAATTTTGACAGGGTATTTATTCATAGAACTCCTATTGAGAAATAAAGTGAGAGGTTTCAAAACCCACAGTATAGAACTATAGATTATTTAGGTGAATGAGGAAAAGCTACATGATTATTATGAACTTAATGTGTATTGCTTTATCAAAACTTCTAAGTTGTTAGTTAAACCAAAGGGTAATTTAAAAAATATGGTAATTTATTTCTACTCTAACTGGATCAAACAATTATGAAAAGAACTGTATTTGGAATTAATCATTCATATCTTTTGGTCCACTCATTGATCAAGTCGTTAAGAAATAGTGAAAATGGGCAAAATTTAGGGGAAATGGGTTCACTAAAAAATGAAAATCTGTCCCTGGATTATGGATTCACCATTATAAGGTTTAATGTTTTATGTATGAATTTTACTAGTTGGGGCTGATTGTTGTCCTAAAATATAGCTTTTTTAATTAATTAAAGATTTGAGTGTTTTAAAACATGAACTTAAAGTCCTTGTTAATACTTAAATCAGCATATTTAATAAAGCTCTTTAAATTTATTAAACTGTTGAAAAAACTTCAACTTAACATCCATGATTTTCTCATAAGAGCTTGCTTCAGAATTTTTCTGGTCTTATACAACTTCTTTAAATTGATTTTCTTGAGCTATCAGTTGAACACAGGAAATCTGTTTATTAATCAGAGATTTTCAGTGTAATCTGATTGTAGGAAACTTCTACCACTATTATCATTAGGGTCCTCAAGATTATTTTAAAATATTAAAATATATTGTCCAATTTGGTCTATTAGTGTTCACTTTTTTTTGGTATCCTATCTTTGTAATGCTGGTCTTTAACTGCTGGTAAGTATAGAAAGGGATTTTGACAATTAGGTAAATTTTGCTACATTTTTTTCACTTTTATTGTGGATTTTTACTGTATGTTTATGATTTATATTTTTTATCAGAAATTGTTTTGTATTTGGCAATAATCACTGATAAACTTTTATAAATCTTTTAAAGTACATGTCTGAGTTTTTAAATTTTTTTATTTTGAAATGTCTGATGCCTTCCTTTTTTTATTAAGGCTGCAAGGTGTGACTGTTGTAAATCTCAAGGAACGCTTAAAGAGAGAGTGCAGTGGCGTGGAGAAATGAAACATTTCTGTGATCAACACTGCTTACTACGTTTCTACTGTCAGCAAAACGAGCCCAACATGACAACTCAGAAAGGACCTGAAAACTTACATTATGGTATGTAATAATTTAGGTAGTAACTTGAAAAACTTGTATAGCAGTGTTTAGTTTCTTAGATCTGAATTCAAACTAATGATAATGAATAGTTGATTTTGGATAACGCATAGTCCATTTTGTCTGGGTGGAGGTGCCCTGTATGATATTTCTGTAGGTGTATTGTTTTTTATTCTCTTTTAAAAATTTAGTGCTAGTTGAAAAAAAATGGCAATTTTAAATGAAGACCAGTTTTAGGAAATTGTATGTGCTGGGAGTAGGTTGGGAGGAACAATGAAAACCCTTTAGAAGTTGTGACTTATTTAAGAGTTAAGCATAAGAACATAGTATTGAACCCAAAGCAATGAATATTTTCTGAGAGGACAAAATGGGAAAAGGGTTAATTCCACTTATTTAGCTTTGTATTTCAGCTCTCAAATTTGATACTTTTTACTTAAAATAGCTTACAACGTTTTCTTCATTAACTATTTTAAAAAATCAGTAACATTTAATGAGAAATACAGATTTAGAAAATTCTGAAGAAAGTGATATTTGTCTTATTTTAAATTTGTTTGTTTTTAGATCAGGGTTGTCAGACGTCCCGAACCAAAATGACAGTAAGTATTGCTTAAGTAAAGTGCTAAATATTGATTTTTATAATGTGGGCATAAATATATAGTCCAATTTAATCTGATCATAATAAAAGATTTTTACTTTCCTCTCTTGGGACAGTTGAAGTATTTAGGTAAATTATCTAGTATTAAAACCGATACTTTCATATATGCTAAGGAATATAAAGGTGAATTAATTATGGCTTCTACCCACATTGGGGGAGATAGACATATAAATGGTATTTGAGTTGAAGTAACCATAATCTTTTTTTTTTTTTTTAAGATTTTATTTATTCATTTGAGAGAGAGATTGAGTGAGCATGAGCACAATTGGGGGTGAGGGTAGAGGGACAAGCAGACTCCCCACTCATTTGACACATGGGGCTTGAACCCAGGACCCTGAGATCATGACCTGAGCCGAAGTCAGACAGTCAACCAACTGAGCCACCCAGGTGCCTCAAAGTACCCATAATCTTTAAGGCAGTAGCAATACTATGTTTGAAATGATTGACTGAATTATTGTATTTGTTCCTGGTAGCTGTGAAAAAGCTTTAGAACAGTTGAGTAGAAGGTTGCCAGATAGACAGTGATGAAAAGTAGGAGGAATGTGCTAAGGACATGCATAACTATTCATTAGGGCCAAACTTAAGGGGCACCTGTGGTGGAATCATGGAAAATGAGGTAAAAGGATAGGCTGGGCCAGATTATTAATGGCTTTGAGTTTATGTTTCTCAAATAGGTATCTGAAGGTCTGTTTTAGGGGCCAGGACTTACAAGTTTTTATTTTATTATTTTTTTTAAAGATTTTATTTATTTATTTGACAGAGACACAGCGAGAGAGGGATCACAAGCAGGGGGAGTGGGAGAGGGAGAAGCAGGCTTCCCACTGAGCAGGGAGCCCGATGTGGGGCTCGATCCCAGGACCCTGGGATCATGACCTGAGCCCAAGGCAGACGCCTAATGACTGAGCCACCCAGGCGCCCCACAAGTTTTTAAATATGAGAAATATTTCCATAATGTGTCCTGTGGATTTTTTTCTTTAGTCTTTGGTGTAATACATCAAATTCTGCTTTTATGTTAGCATTTTAAGACTTTCTATAGGTTGAAAGTGTCCATTTGTATGTAATGAATAAAGAGAAGAAGCAATGTTTTGCTATACTCTGAAGCACAGTGAGCCTGCCCTCTTGTATGCTGAGTAACAATAATCACCAGTATTGGAATATTGGTATTTCTGGCATCCGTATCCAAGGGAAGCTCCATAGGAGTCATTTATTGGCATTATATTAAGTCTCTGAGTTTTTGACCTGGTAAGAAAGAATAAATCAATGGTTTTTAGATCTGGCTACACATTTGGATCACCTGGGGAATTTCCAGAACTTTCCAATGCCTAGCCCCCAACTCAGAAATTCTGTGTTTTTGGAAAGTTCTTCAAGTGATTTTAATATGTAACCACAATTTAGGATCAATGACAAAGTTGAAAAATTAGTGATTTTACATTATTCTGTTCAGTTTTTGCTTTTGATGTTAGTAGTTAAGAATCCTAAGAAAGTAAGAGTGCTTTCTCCCTTGCTTTACTCCCCTATATGTCATCCCCCCCCCCTTATGGAAATACATTTAAAATCAGATAATTCAGAAATACATCAAAATACTCAGCTGAATCATCTCATTTTAATACCAGGCACTTTTATCCATGATGAGGATATAAAGATGGTCACTCCATATTTTCACTTTGTAGCCATAAGGCAACTTCCAACCTTGTTTCAAATATGTAAGCTTTTGACCAAGGCTTTAAGGCCCACCTTCTACCAGCATAATATCAGATACTTTCTTCCTCTCCTAGCACTTGAACCACATTATATGACAGCCAGAAGGGTCTAGGGAAGGATAAATCAATGTGCCACTGCAATTGTTGCCTTTTGTCTTATAAAAGCCCTTTCCCATCTTTTCTTTGTAAGCTTTTGAAATCTTTTAATTCCCTACCCATAAACTTCAAAGGGTGAGAGCTTAGCTGTATAATTTTGGACAAGTCCCTTTACACAAGTTCTTGGTGTGAATTTCTTGTTTGAAAAATGGTGATGAAGATAGTACCTACTTCAGGGTTATCACATAGTAAGCATTAAATACATAGTAGCTGCTCTGTACCAGACCTCATAAAGGCAGTATGTATAGTAGTTAAGAACATAGGCTTTGGTGTTAGGTTAATTTACTTGAATCCTGACCTCAGAACTTTTAGCTCTGTCATCTTTCCCAGGTTGTGTAACTTCCGAGCCTTAGTTTTCAGATGAGAAAATAAAGTGGGAGTGATTAAAAGGCCTACCTCTTGTAGTGTTAGGAGAATTAAATAACTCATTTCATGAGTTATGTAAATTTGGTGCTTTATGTAATGTCTTCGTCCATTTGAGCTGCTATAGCAATACCATAAGTGAGGTGGCTTACAAACAACAGGAATTATTTCTCACAGTTCTGGAGGCTAGGAAGTCTAAAATCAAGTTGCTAGCAGATAACAGTGTCTGGGGAGGGCCTGCTTCCAGGTTTATAAATAGCCATCTTTTCACTGTATCTTCATATGGTGGAAAGAGGTAAGGCATCTCTAGGATTGCTTAATCCCTGTTCATGAGGCCTCTGCTGTCATAATATAATCCCCATCTAATGGCCACACCTTCAGATACCATCACATTGGGTATTAGATTTCAACATATGAATTTTAGGGGGTATATATTATCTGTAGCACATAGTGTCTGGCATGAAGCAAATACTGAACAGATGGTAACTTTTGTCATTATAATTTTATTTTGGGTCCTCCTTCAGTATTCATTATAAATAGAAGTAGATCTTGCTTGTTGAGAAGCAGAAAAGTAAGAAGCATTATCAAGTGTAGGTCTTCACTAGGTGGCATAGTTTATTTGACATGATGTAATGTTTCTAAATGACAGGAGGTAAAACCTTGAGTAATCTACAAAATGTATGATTTTGGACCCCTTGTTCTTATGTGGGAATTCTAGGGTATTTTCCAGCTTGGACCAGGCTTACCTAGTCTTGGTATGTAGTAGATACTCAATACCTATTTGTTATATTATTCTGCCCATTTTACAGTTGAGGAAATTGAGCCACAAGAGACTGAGTCACTTGCCTGATGTTACACAGCAGTAATTTTAGGACTAAATTCCCTAACTCCTTGTTTGTAGCTCTTTTTCTTAGCTGATTAATAATGTGGTTTGAAATCCTGATGAATCTAGAATAGTACCATCTCCTTGGCCATATGCATTATTTGTAACTCGTGAGATACCTACCTGAAACAGTCTTTTAAAAAATTTGTATCTTTCTACACCTTTAAATATGCACAGATAAATTTATTAAACAGTAAGTGCTTTAAGTACAATTGATCATCATTCATATTTGCAAATTTGCCTATTCTCTAAATGGTAGCCCCTAAATCAATACCCATGGCAATTTCAAAGAAATTTGCAGACATGGTGCAGATTGGTGAAAAACATGAGTCTCCTGAGGTGCATCTTCCTGCTGAGGTGGAACAAGGCAAGGCTTTCCCTTCTTGTCTCACTTCATCCTATAAGCAGGTGTCCTTTTCATAGTCAATTAGTACCACCTTTTTCATATTTTGTCCTTTTTGTTGGTGATTTTGCTTTATAAAAGATCCCCCAAGAGTAGTATTAAAAAGCCATATCTAGTGTTCCTAAGCACAGGAAGGCTGCTCTGTGCCTTATGAAGGAAATGATGTGTATTAGGTAAGCTTCATTCAGTTGGCAGTGAGTTTAATGTTCATGAATCAACAATATGGTACACTTAGAGAAAGGAATAAGAAATTCACCAGTCTGTAGATGAGGCAACTCTGAGTACTGAAGTAAAATCTATAGTACATGGTGAAGCTATGGAAAAGAAGGGAGAGTGATTATATTTATGGATTCATGGACTTAGGACTAATTAAAAAAAAAAGTGAAACAGCATTGTTGTGAGGTTTTCAGCTTACATAGAGCATGTTACACAGGCTCAGGAAAATGTTAAACCCTTCTTGCCTACTGCTGGCTAGCTCACACATTTCAAGCAAAATGGTATGAAAAATGTTAAACTTGCATGCGAGGTGATTTCCGCAGATCAGGACCAGGATACTTTGGGAGAATACCAGCCAAGTGTTAACACAGGAAGAAGGGATATACAGTTAAACAGATTTTCAACACTGATGGGACTGGCTTGCTTTCACAAGGTCAGTGGCAAATGAATGTATATGGTACAAGTGGTCTTCAAAGCCCCTGACTTTAAATAGTTTAGAAACCATGCAACCTTGCTGTTGTGTGCCAATGCCAAGGATAACTTCAATCCCCCCTTGGTGCATAGAGCCCAAAATCCATGAAAAATCCAGGGAAAAAACTGAGCTATATGCCAGTCCATTAGAGGTGGAACAAAAAAAATCATGAATGGTATCTAAAATATTCTGTGATTGGTTCTCCCAACTGCTTCATCCTAGAAGTTGAACATTGTCTCCAGAATGAAAACCTTGCATTTGAGGTTTTTTGAGGTTTTATTACTGGATGATATCCATTGCCTTGAAGAACTCAAAAATGCCTATCTCAGTGTAGTTCCTTTCATGCCCCCAAACACTCTCTCTCTCATCCAGCCCCTCAATTAGGGCATAATTAAAGTTTCAAGACCTACTTCATGAGAAAGCTTTCAAGGCTTTCAACACCAACAAGGAAACCACCCTGATTATTGGAAGTTAGTTACCATACGCAGCATTATTATGTTGGCACAGCTTAGGACAGCATCAAGCAGGCTACCATGAATAATTGGGAAAATGTTTGACCACACTGTGAAAAATTTCAAAGTTTTTGAAGGTGTCACAGGAAAAAAAAAAAAAAGTGTTAAAAACGTAATGTGTATTGCACCAAGTAAGTGAAGAAGGCTTTGGGGACGTGCAGGACGATATGGAGGAAGTTTGGTAGAGAAGGCAGTAGAGCCTACCAGTGAAGACCTTGGCAAGATGGCAAAACAAGGCATCAGATTCAGTGATGAAAGTCAGCCCAAGACTCCTAAGAATGGCCAAAATATTGGAATGGAATTCTGCCTTTGGAAGAATTGTCAGTGACATGGAAGAATATGACCCTATGCTGAACAAAGCTGCAATTTAAGCACCACTGTGGTTGCCCCTCATGTAAAGATGCTTTAAAAGATTTGAGGTGAAAAGCCAAGTAGACAGGCTGACTTCTTTTTTTGAAGCCAGTTTGGGAGGGAAAAGTGCTGACATTGTCAAGAAATTACAAGAGCCAAACTCTTGAGGTAGAACTGCCAGATGTCACCCTCTTCTTCCCTCACCAAGTCACCGACTTCTTCCTCTTCTGCAGAATAATTGCCATCAACCTTTCCCTTGGTTTTTATGGGCACGCCAAAGGTTGAGAGGTTTAACCACACAGTGCACTGCCCCATTGTACATCCTGCATGTCCACTAAGAGTAAGATGTTAATATTTTTATAAAATGTTCCATGTTTACTCTTTGGTTTTTTTTCCAGGACTTTATTTACATTAGTGTACAATATACAGTATGTGTTAACAGGACTGAGTATGAGTACCATATAGTATATGTGTACTGTATCTGTGTACTATGCAGGAGTGTACACATCTGAGTGAAAGTGTTAATAATCATAGTATACTACAGTACATAAAAATGCTGTAATCATGATACAAAGAAACACAGAGTATAATTATTTGTAAGAAATATATATGAAATCAAGTGTGTTTCAACAGAAACACTGTTATGTATTAATCTGTTGATGAAAATATTGTGACCAAAGGCTTGTAGGAACCTAACATTGTATTTCCTTTTGGAGTTACGGTTCTGTATTCACTACTTAAGTATTCATGGTGACTGTCTAGAAGTTAAGTACCTCAAATATTCTGTATTCTCTACCTTTTTTCCTGTATCAATATATGGAGAGCACCTATGGTTAGTCCCTTCTGGACAGATCTTTAGCTTATTTTAGATTGTGTGTGTGTGTGTGTGTGTGTTATGCCCGGGAGGGGCAGCGTGTTCTCAATTGCAAATAATGCTACAGTGAACATGGTAAAAACATCTGAGAGACTATTATCTAGGACAGGTTTCTGAAATTGCAATTGCTGGGATATAAAAAATAGTTTGAAGTTTGATAATATGGTAATTCTTTTCATCATTTTTTTTTATCTTTTAAAATTTAGTAACATATATAAGCTGTTTATCCAGTAGAGAGAACTAGTGTGTATCAGGTGGCCATAATAACTAAGAATCTTTCCCAAATAAATTTAAAAGAACCTAATTATTTTCAAAATTCAGGCTAACAGTCTTCTGTTTTTTACCTAAAAGTAAAAATTGTCTTTTTATGTTTTTTAAAAAATCCATTGAGGTCACACAGTTCTGTAGAATGAATGATTTCTCCTGCTTTGTCAGTAGTTAGGACAGATTCACATTGATCCTTTCAGATTAAGACTATGGTAAACATAGTAATAATAACATAATTTGGTTATATTCTTAAACTTTTATGTGTTCCCTCCACATGATCTAGAAACCAGATATTCATTAACACCAGGAAGTAATAAAAATTAGAGGCAAAAATAAAATGTTGCTCTTTGCTTCCTCTGTAGGGTTCAGCACCACCCCCTTCTCCAACACCTAACAAAGAGATGAAGAACAAAGCCGTTCTTTGCAAACCTTTAACAATGACGAAAGCTACTTATTGTAAACCTCACATGCAGACCAAATCTTGTCAGACAGGTAACTTAGGAAAATTTGACTTACATACTTCCCTATACTTAATACCTCACTTACTGAAATTCATGCTTTTCTCAAATAATAGGCTATGGAATGTATTTGTTTTGGTCACTTTGTCATTTTCTGTTGATTTTGCTTATCTACATTTAGACATTACCTTGAGAATACAGCATTTTATTTAAAATAATTAATGAAAATCAATCTCTGTTAAAGGCTCAGAATATAAATTATGTCACAGGTGAAAAAATGCTGTATCAAAAATTTCCTTGGGGCTAAGATTCACTAAAGTTACCGTAATCCCTCTGAGAAAATCATCTCTGTAAATGTGACCTGTAATGTTAACAGTTCTGTTTCCTTGTCAGAATGAGATGATATCATTCAATTATATATTTTTATGAGATTTAAATGTATTCTAATTGTTTGATTAGATAAATCTTTTTGCAGGGGATGTGAGGGGAATCTGATAGGATACCTGGAACTATATAATGTTTTTAAGGGATGTTTTCTTTGTATTAAAAAAAAAAGGCCTAAATTCTATTTTTCTGTCTTTATTAAAACAGTTACTGTATTTAGTTTTGTTTTTACCTTACCTAATTTTGTGAAAACAGGGAATTTGTTTTCTTTTCTTTCTTTTTTTTTTAAGATTTTATTTATTTGTTTGAGAGAGCGAGAGAGAGCACAGCACGGGGAGCAGCAGAGGGAGAGGGAGAAGCAGGCTCCCCGCTGAGCAGGGAGCCTGACTTGGGGCTCGATCCCAGATCCCAGGAGTCCGGGATCATGGCCTGAGCCGGGATCATGACCTGAGCTGGGATCATGACCTAAGCCAAAGGCAGATGCTTAACTGACTGAGCTACCCAGGCACCCCCAGGAATTTCTTTTAAAAGGGAAATGAGGCACTTAAATTTTTCTTTGTTACCAAATTTAACATTGAGTAACTATGTTTAAATGTTACTTAACATTGCTCCTTAAACACATTTTGTATTTTTAGATGATAATTGGAAGACAGAATATGTTCCAGTGCCTATCCCTGTGCCTGTGTATATCCCAGTACCGATGCACATGTACAGTCAGAATATTCCTGTTCCTACTACGGTTCCTGTTCCTGTAAGTTGGATTTTAAGTTTTTTTGTTTGTTTGTTTTTTGTTTTCATTTTGAGGTTTATCAGGCATTAAGTGGGAGAACAATGTAGTGAAGCTAGTAAAACAGGGTTGAGTCTTGGCCTTCATCAGTTAACTTAGGTTTGGTTGAATCTGTCAGTGTTTGCTTTGTGTTTAATCAAGTATATGTTCATCCTTAAAGGTGAAGTTTAGCAAATGTCTGTGTCTGCTTTATGCATATATATATATATATATATATATATATATATATAGTGTCTTATGTTTGAGTTCATTTTAGAGAAAAATATTTGTGAAGTTGTAAGTTTTAAAACTTAAACACGGAATAGAATTTCACATGAATTATGATTACATTATTTTGTCCTAAATCACTTGCAGTAACAACACTATGCCAGGGCTTGGCTATCATAGTACCCTGGGGACAGAGGTATCTCAAAAATTATTTTTCTTTAATTTTCATTTCAAAAAGTAGCTGCTTATACTTGAGCTTTCCTTGTTAAAATTGACATCTTAGTTTTGGTATGTGTTTTTTCCAAAGTATTATAAAGAAGATCATGTGTTAGAATAATTTTTAATTTGGGAAGTTATCTTTATTTATTTATTAGAGAGAGAGCACAAGGAAGAGCAGATGGGAAGGGGAGAAGGGCAGGAGAGGGAGAAGCAGGCTCCCTGCTGAGCAGAGAGCCCGATGTGGGGCTCGATCCCAGGACCCTGGGATCATGACCTAAGCTGAAGGCAGACGCTTAACTGACTGAGCCACCCAGGCATGCCCCCCTCCTTTTTTTTTTTTTTTAAGATTTTTATTTTTAAGAGATCTCCACACCCAATGTAGCGCTCCAGCTTACAATCCGAAGATCAAGAGTTGCACACTCCACTGATTGTACCAGCCAGGCACCCCCCAGAAAATTATCTTCTAATGTTGAGTAAACCTAACAGTAAATATTTTGGTTAATTAGGTGCCGGTTCCTGTTTTTCTGCCTGCCTCATTGGATAGCAGTGAGAAGATCCCTGCAGCAGTCGAGGAACTGAAAAGCAAAGTTTCTTCAGATCCTCTTGATGCAGAGCTGCTTACAATGACAGATATGATAACTGAAGATGAGGGGAAAACAGAAGCTGCCAACATCAACAGTGAGTTGCACTATATTTCACTTTGTGAATAAGTTTATCATTGGTTTTCAGTAAGTGTTAAAATTAATATAGTATGTTGCAGGACATATCATTATGTTTCACCTTGAAATGGGAGTGGATGAGCATTGCAACAAAAATGTATTTTTGTATTAAGAGATCCGTACTCTATCTAGCCACATGCTCTCTTATGCCATGCCCAGTTTTAATATATATATATATTTAAAGATTTTATTTATCAGAGAGAGAGAGACAGAGGTAGGCAGAGGGAGAAGCAGGCTCCTTGCTCACCAAGGAGCCCGATGTGAGACTCGATCCCAGGACCGTGGGATCATGACCTGAGCCGAAGGCAGACGCTTAACCGACTGAGCCACCCAGGCGTCACCCCATGCCCAGTTTTAAGCAGGACTTTGTATAATTTGTCCAGTCCTTGTTTTAATTGTAATCAGATTTGACTTGTAAAATCAACTCAGAATTATTCCTGTTTTAATGTACTAGCTCAGACACAAAAATAACTTGTTGGCTTTAATAATGATCCAAACATTTATTTTGTAATGGTTATCCCCAGTTTTGTTTTGTTGGCTATACTTAATAAAGTAATTTGCATTATCTAAACCAGGGTTTATCCTAACTTCTGTTAGGGCAGTGTTTGCCAAATGGCATAAGTATGTTGTAGATGATTCTCTTAAGAGTATTTATTCCTACCCTTACTTCTCTGGTACCACCCAGAGACCTTTTTCAGCCATGAGCTGCCTGATTCCCATTACCCTAGAGCACAATAGAAACACTAAAAATTTTATGTATTTCATAATGTGACAGTTTTTGTGGAGGACTTTGTTACAAATTAACTTAGTGGGTTGCAACCAGTGGTTTTGTTTATTTGTTTTTTAATGAAGTGAATGGGAAAATGTTAGTGTGAATCTCATCAAAAAGATACTGTTTTGTGAAACCTTTGTTTCCTGTGTGTGTCTCTATGTTTGTCTTTCTGTCTCCTATCACCACCTTGAAATGGATAAAATGTGTATCTTACTGTGGGTTGCAATATAAAAATGTTTGAAAGCAACTGATCAAAACATTAGAAAGCAATTGTAATTGAATGATATAGAAAACCTAGGTCACAGTTCAAAAAGAGTATTGAAAATTGCAGTTATCCACCCTCATTAGTTTATTTTTGACAAGAGATACTCTGCATACCAGAGATGGTTTACTATCAAAGCATGTCTATTAACTTTTTGAAAAGGGCAGTCAGAAACCTAAAGGATTAAGTTTCTGTGTACTCATGATTATCTAACAATTATAAAATTTATAATAGTTTACATTTCAAGATTATATACCTTTTCCTTTTGTGACATATTAATATAAGTATTCTTGTTTTATATTTACAATTAAATGACTTCCTTTGTCAGATTAAATATAGGTGCTGTTCAGGTCTTCTATTTTGATTTCTAATGATCTTACGAATTGATTACAGGTGTAGTTATTGAAGCAGACATAATTGATTCAGATCTCTTGAAGAACTCTGACCCAGAGACACAGTCCAATATGCCTGATGTACCATATGAACCAGACTTGGATATCGAAATAGATTTCCCCAGAGGTACTCTTACTTTATTCTTTAAGTGTGAAGTACAGTTATGGAATTTAGTTATGATCATTAATCATTTAATGTTTGTGTTCTTGCCTTTACTGTTTATATTTATCTTTTTTTTTTTTTTTACCCAAACAAAACTCAACGGTTAATTTCTGAAATGAGGCATAGGATTGAATTGAATAGAATTTCTTAGAGCCTGAAAAGACACTTTCTCAAAGTAATTCATTATAGAAAACTTTGTAGATAGAGTAAAAGATAAAGAAGTGATTGTGTCTTTTTAAAAAAATTAAATAAAATATTGACTATTTTTCATAGGACCTTTTTAAAATTAAGTTCATCTTCAAAAGGAAAAATTATTTTTAGGTCTTTTGTTGTAAAGGAAATGTGTTCTGTTTTTCATTATTTTCTTAATCTACTGATGGCTAATAAACCTGCCCAATAGAATGTAAAGCATTTTATTTTGAGACAGATTTGATATGTTGAAACAGATTTGTACTGAGATCATTTAGATCTTAGAATTGAATTTCAGGTTGTAATAGTTTTTCTGATATTATACATTTCCATGAAAGTTTCATGTTGTTATTTATTATACATGTGTTTTATTTAAGAGTCTGAATAGGGTTTATCAGAACTCATAGACCATTTTCTTTTCACCCTCACCTGCAGCATAGGTTATCCTCATAAATAGGTGCTTGGTTATATTTTGTGATTAGTTCTTTGTTGGCTTTGTTTATGTAATATAAACTTGTGCTGTTATATTTGGAAATAAAAGTTCTTCTGATTTGATTGCCAGCTGCTGAGGAGCTTGATATGGAAAATGAATTTTTATTACCACCTGTTTTTGGAGAAGAATATGAGGAACAGCCTAGACCTCGATCTAAAAAAAAGGTATAAATTAATAGTATTTTTGCATTCAACTACGATCTCTGTGTAGTGGTATCTCTTTAGGTATGGAGCAAGGATAATAGTGATCCACAGTTGTGCCTGAGACCATGGGAAGACTTTTTTCCCCTAGATTTAAAAAGGCTTTAAGAGTTAAAGTCTTTATTACTTCATTTCTAAGTAATAAAAATGTCTAGATTTACTTGTAACTTTATAGAAGAGTTGAATATTATTGCCATTTAATTTTCCTTTATAATTTTATCCTGACAAAAGGTTGACATTGTTGCTAAAAAAAAGTAAACAATTCTTTCACAAGAATTGAGACTGTTTTCTAGGGATCTGTTTTTTCCACTATTATTTCTTTCTTTCTTTCTTTTTTTTTTTTTTAAAGATTTTATTTACTTATTTGACAGATAGAGACACAGCGAGATAGGGAACACAAGCAGGGGGAGTGGGAGAGGGAGAAGCAGGCTCCCTGCTGAGCAGGGAGCCCGATGCGGGGCTCGATCCCAGGACTCTGGGATCATGACCTGAGCTGAAGGCAGACGCTTACCGACTGAGCCACCCAGGCGCCCTCCACTATTATTTCTGATGAGACTAATCTGTGAGGTTGAGATAACACAGTTTATAATATTTGATCTTTTTTAAGCGTGTCAGCACATGCAAAGACATGCTGAACAGTTTAATTGTTCAGGTAGATCAAATCTACATGTATTAACAGTTGTGATTTTTAAAAATACTTTATCAACAACTTTATATATTTCTGATTTGCAATATAAAGCAAGACCAAAAGAAAAAATAAAAGGATGACTTTCACAAATTTCCCCACAAAGAAAGAAAAAAAACTGAAAAAGGAGTGAGTACCCGCATTAGGATGAAGTTGGACTCCTGTTTGACACCATATAAAAATTAACTCAAAAATGAGTAACAGACCTAAATATAAGAACCAAAATTATGAAACTCTTAAAACAGGCCTAAATCTTTATTACCTTGGGTTAGGCATAGTTCTTCGATATAACACCAAAAGTATAAGAAATAGCAGGAAAAAATAGGTGAATTAGGTGTACTACATCAAAATTTAAAACTTTTATACAGCAAATAATGCCATCATGACAGTGAAAGGAGCTGAGTGGTCATTCCCCATAAATTGGAAATCCTGGGAAGTTCAGTTTCTCTCTTACATTAATATTTAGAATCCTTTTCAGATTATTTATTAATTATGTCTTACATTTAATTATTTTCTTATCAGTGACTGTCACAGCAGCAGTTAAAATGATTTTTTTTATACAAAGTGGTTTATGTAGAAATATGGCATTCCTGGAGATATATTTCAAGTAACTATTCTCAGATTCTGGAATACCAATCAGTTCTAAGTGTATATATTTCTCTTTTGATTTACATTTGTTGAGAGATGACTTACATAAAGTCATGAAACAATTTAGGCTTTTTTAAAAAAAGATTTTACAATGGTGTTTTACTAATAGGGAGCCAAGAGAAAAGCTGTATCAGGATACCAGTCTCATGATGATAGTTCTGACAATTCAGAATGCACCTTTCCTTTCAAATACACGTATGGTGTAAATGCATGGAAACACTGGGTCAAAACTAGGCAACTTGATGAAGATCTTCTGGTATTAGATGAGCTAAAATCTCGTAAGTGTTCTGATTTTGTTTCTTCTTGCATCATATTTCAAATCATGATTTTTATTAACTACCTTTACTTTTAAAAAAACATAAATGTATAGCTGACAGTATTTTAAGTACATTTAAATATAACTTGTTTTACTTTAAAATTCTTATATAGTATAAATCAATTTCAGAAAGTTTCTTAATCTTAAGAGTAAATAATAACAATTTTTCTTTCTTTTTAGCTAAATCAGTAAAGTTAAAAGAGGATCTGCTCTCTCACACCACAGCTGAGCTTAACTATGGGTTAGCCCATTTTGTCAATGAGATCCGACGCCCAAATGGAGAGAGTTATGCACCTGACAGCATCTATTATCTTTGCCTTGGAATACAGGAGGTTGGTAATTTGATGGCTACGTTTGAATATAATGTTAATAAGCAAGGTTGTTGTAGTAGTTTGGGAAAAGAAAAATGTTAATGTGCCAGGAATATTAAGGGCAGCTTTATGGAACATAATGATTTCTTGGCTTGCCAAGACAAAAAATAATTTACTCTATTTGAAAATACTAGGATATTATAAAGGATTTTCTTAGCTAATTTGTATATAGGTCTTTCTGTTATAATGAGTTATGTTCCTAAAAATCCTCAAGTTCTTCAAAACTACTGTACCATAACCAAAAAGAATTCATGTGAAAAATGGAGTTAGGGTCAGGCGACTTGAAACTCATGCATCTTTTGTAACAGCCTAACAAAGCTGTATATTTGTTACCATGTATATCATAATCAGGATGGCTTCATTGCCTCTTTACAGTTGCAAATAAATGAATTAACATTCTGAGGCATGATCTGTATATGAATATATAGATCCATGCTGATATACGTGTAAATAGAAAAATGGGTTCCTTTGCAAATAGCGGGTCTGTTTCAGTTGTACACTTCTCATGTTTCTAAGTTTGTTTTGTTTTTTTTTAAAGATTTTATTTATTTATCTGAGAGAGAATGGGAGACAGAGAGCATGAGAGGGGAAGGGTCAGAGGGGGAAGCAGACTCCCCGCTGAGCAGGGAGCCTGATGCGGAACTCGATCCCAGGACTCCAGGATCATGACCTGAGCCGAAGGCAATTGCTCAACCAACTGAGCCACCCAGGCGCCCATTTCTAAGTTCTTAAATAGGGTATTTACTCTTTAATTCTTTGGGATCATAAAAGGAGATCATTCTTTGGGTTTTTAGAAAAACTTAAACCACATATCTGTGAGTCATGAGTGAGTCTATTTTCCATAGTAAACATAAAGATCAACTTGTAATTCTGAACAAATTGTTCGGGTTTGAGCCCAGGATCTTGCTTGACATCCTATGTATTTTTAGCTGTGGTAAATGATAGAAGGAGATCTTTTTATGTAGAGCTTTGTTTATAGGCCCAGAATTTAGTGTTATGCTACTAACAGGTGGTAGAAACTGAAATAAATTACTCAGAAAATTAGAATTGTCTTAATTTTTATTTTATTATACTATCTTTAGGATAGAAATTTGCCTAAGATTATATAAGTGGTAGTGGGGAAATAACACATGGCTATAAATTACTGTATGTTCAAAGGCCATCACATATTTTACAGTAACAACCTAAAAAGTATATAGTAGATTTTACTTTTTATATTTTTTGATAGATTTTACTTTTTTTATATTTTGATAGATTTATATGTACCTTGAGCCTCATGTTTAGTTGGCAATAATAGGTCCACCATTCCAAATCCCCAAACCCCTGAAAACTAGAGATTTTACTCTTTAGATTTTCACAAAAACTAATTTGATAGTAAGTTGTCAAGTTACTATTTATTATACTTTGTTTGATTATCCATAGAATATTAACTATATAATTCACTAAAGGATTGTTAATGTTTCTAAACAAATATAGGGTTCTTCCTTAGACCACTCTAGGAATATTATGTATATACATAATAAGTATATACATGCCCTATATTTCCTCTGTAGAATCCAAAAAATTAAGAATTCTAAAATACATCTGGACTCAATGGTTCTAACTCAGGGTTTATAGACCTATCTATGTTTTCCCCCCTTTTTATTATACCTAGTAATAAAAAAAGAGTAGAAATAGCAGGTGCCAGGTGTAGGTGAAAACATCTCAAGCATCAGAATAAGTTATTTATTACATATAAATCCTCTTCAGAGCAAATAGGAGCTGGGTCTTATTCTTTGTGTCTTGTACCATGCTGTCCATATGGTAGGCACTCATTGACCTGTGTAATTGTCAATGACTACACAGTAGACCTATCTATCCAGTATTCCATTGCTTTTTACTGTGTGTACTTAAGGTGGTGGAACAGTCTTTTTTTTTTTTTAAATGTTTATATCATCATCTTAGAAATAGTTCTGTTGTCTAGATCAATCATTTGTAAAAATGTTGAAGAGCACACTAGGGTTCTGCCAGATTAACTCAGCAGGAAGGAAAGAGATTGAGTTCTAGGATCTGTTTTTTGTTCTTTTAAGACTTTTTAAAAATTCAAGTTAGTTTGTATGTAGTGTATTATTAGTTTCAGGGATAGAATTTAGTGATTCATCAGTTGAATGTAACATCCAGTGCTCATTGCATCAAAAAGGACAGTCTCCTCCTTAATGCCCATCACCCAATTACCCCATACCTCCATGTACCTTCCCTCCAGCAACCCTCAGTTTGTTCCCTATATTTAAGAGTCTCTTATGGTTTGCCTCCCTCTCTGTTTTGATCTTATTTTATTTTTCCTTCCCTTCCCCTATGTTCATCTGTTTTGTTTTTTAAATTCCACATATGAGTGAAATCATACAGTATTTGTTTTTCTCTGACTTATTTCACTTAACATAAAACGCTCTAGTTCCATCCACATTGTTGCAGATGGCAAGATTTCATTCTTTTTGATGACTGAGTAATATTCCATTGTATATATACACCACATCTTCTTTATCCATATTTTGCTATTGTGGGTAGTGCAGCTATAAGTAATTGGGGTGCATGTGCCCCTTCAAGTCACTATTTTTTTTATCTTTTCTTTTTTTTAAGATTTTTATTTATTAATTTGATGGAGAGAGGGAGAGATAGTGAGAGAGGGAACACAAGCAGGGGGAGTGGGAGAGGGAGAAGCAGGCTTCCCACCGAGCAGGGAGCCCAATGCGGGGCTCGATTCCAGGACCCTGAGATCGTGACCTGAGCCAAAGGCAGATGCTTTAACAAGTGAGCCGCCTAGGTGCCCCTATTTTTATATCCTTTGGATAAATACCTAGTAGTGTAATTGCTGGGTTGTAGGGTAGTTCTATTTTTAACTTTTTGAGGATCCTCCATACTGTTTTCCAGGGTGGCTGCACAGTTTTCTTTCCCATCAACAGTGTAAGAGGGTTCCCCTTTCTTCACATCCTTGCCAACATCTGTTGTTTTCTGAGTTGTTCATTTTAGCCATTCTGACAGGTGTGAGGTGGTATCTCATTTTGGTTTTGATTTGTGTTTCCCTGATGATGAGTGATGAGAATTTTTTCATGTGTCTGTCAGCCATTTGTATGTCTTCTTTGGAGAAATGTCTGTTCATGTCTTCTGCCCATTTCTTGACTGGATTATTTGTTCTTTGGTTGTTGAGTTTCATAAGTTTTTTGTTTTTAAAGATTTTATTTATTTATTTGCCAGAGAGAGAGAGAGGGAGAGTACAAGCAGGGGGAGTGGCAGGCAGAGGGAGAAGCAGGCTCCCCGCTAAGCAAGGAGCCCAATGTGGGACTCAATCCCAGGACCCTGAGATCATGACCTGAGCCAAAGGCAGACGCTTAACCATCTGAGCCACCCAGGTGCCCCAAGTTTGATAAGTTCTTTATAGATTTTGGATACTAGCCCTTTATCTGATATGTCATTAGCAAATATATTCTCCCATTCTATGGGTTGCCTTTTCATTTTGTTGATTGTTTCTTTTGCTGTGCAGAGCATTTTATCTTGATGAAGTCCCAATAGTTCATTTTGCTTTTGTTTCCCTTGCCTCTGAGATGTGTCTAATAAGTTCCTACAGCCAACATCAGAGACGTTACTGCTTGTGTTGTCCTCTACGATTTTGATGGATTCCTGTCTCACATTTAGCATTTTCATCCATTTTGAATTCATTTTTTGTGTGGTGTAAGAAAGTTGTCCAGTTTCATTCTTCTGCATGTGGCCGTCCAGTTTTCCCAATGCCATTTGTTGAAGAGATTGTCTTCTTAACAGTTGACGGTCCATTTCTGGGTTCTGTATTCTGTTCCACTGATCTATGAGTCAGTTTTTATGCCAGTCCCATACTGTCTTGATGACAGCTTTATTTTTTTTTTTTAAAGATATTATTTACTTATTTGAGAGAGAGAGAGAGAGCATGAGCAAGGGGGAGGGGCAGAGGGAGAGGGAGAAGCAGACCCCCCGCTGAGCAGAGAGCCAGACATGGGGCTCAATCCCAGGACCCTGGGATCATGACGTGATCTGAAGGCAGATGCTTAACCAGCTGAGCCACCCAGCGCCCCTGATTACAGCTTTAATAGTACAGCTTGAACTCCAATTGTGATGCCTCCAGTTTTGGTTCTCTTTTCCACATTACTTTGGCTATTTGGGGTCTTTTCTGGCTCCATAAATTTTAGAATTGTTTGTTCCAGCTCTGTGAAAAGTGCTGGTGGTGTTTGATAGGGATTGCATTGAATGTGTAGATTGCTTTGGGTAGCATAGACATTTTAACAGTACTTGTTCTTCTAATCCATAGGTATTGAATGTTTTTCCATTTCTTTGTGTTTTCCTCAACTTCTTTCACAAGTGTTCTATAGTTCTCAGAGTACAAATCTTTTATCTATTTGGTTAGGTTTATTCCTAGTTATTTTACGGTTTTTGGCGCAATTGTAAATGGGATCGATTCCTTGATTTCTCTTTCTGCTGCTTCATTATTGGTGTATAGAAATCCTACAGACTTCTGTGCATTGATCTTGCCACTTTGCTGAATTCCTGTATCAGTTCTAGCGAATTTTTGGTGGAGTCTTTCAGGTTTTCTACAGAGTATCATGTTGTATGTGAAGAGTGAAAGTTTGACTTCTTCCTTGCCAATTGGGTTGCATTTTATTTCTTTTTCTTGTCTGATTGCTGAGGCTAGGACTTCCAGTATTATGTTGAACAACAGTACGGAGAGTGGACTTCCCTGTCGTGTTCCTGACCTTAGGGGAAAAGATCTGTTTTTCCCAATTGAAGATGATACTAGCTGTGAGTCTTTCATGTGTGGCCTTTATGATGTAAAGGTATTTTCCTTCTGTCCCTACTTTCTTGAGGATTTTTATCAAGAAAAGATGCTGTATTTTGTCAAGTGCTTTTTCCGCATCTCAACCGACTGAGATACCCAGGCGCCCTGATGTTTTCAGTTTAAT